GTGTCATGTAGATATGCAGTAAGGTTTCGGAATTTAGATTTTGCCCCGGGGGGTCAAATTGGGGTCAAAATGACGTTTTTTATGCAAAAAGCCCCGTCTTCCCTGAACTCCTCTTACATTTTACACAGTAGGCTAATCATCTTTTGGGAGATGGTTGGTGGTGTCATGTAGATGTGCAGTAAGGTTTCGGAATTTTGATTTTGCCCCTGGGGGTCAAATGGGGGTTGAAAATGACATTTTTTATGCAAAAAGCCCCGTCTTCCCTGAACTCCTCTTACATTTTAAACAGTAGGCTAATCATCTTTTTGGAGATGGTTGGTGGTGTAATTGAGATGTGCAGTAAGGTTTCGGAATTTTGATTTTGCCCCCGGGGGGTCAAATGGGGGTTGAAAAATGCATTTTTTATGCAAAAAGCCCCGTCTTCCCTGAACTCCTCTTACATTTTACACAGTAGGCTAATCATCTTTTTGGAGATGGTTGGTGGTGTCATGTAGATGTGCAGTAAGGTTTCGGAATTTTGATTTTGCCCCGGGGGTCAAATGGAGGTCGAAAAATGACGTTTTTTATGCAAAAAGTCCCATCTTCCCTGAACTCCTCTTACATTTTACACAGTAGGCTAATCATCTTTTGGGAGATGGTTGGTGGTGTCATGTAGATGTGCAGTAAGGTTTCGGAATTTTGATTTTGCCCGGGGGGGTCAAATGGGGGTCGAAAAATGACGTTTTTTATGCAAAAAGCCCCGTCTTCCCTGAACTCCTCTTACATTTTACACAGTAGGCTAATCATCTTTTGGGAGATGGTTGGTGGTGTCATGTAGATATGCAGTAAGGTTTCGGAATGTTGATTTTGCCCCGGGGGGTCAAATGGGGGTCGAAAAATGACGTTTTTTATGCAAAAAGCCCCGTCTTCCCTGAACTCCTCTTACATTTTACACAGTAGGCTAATCATCTTTTTGGAGATGGTTGGTGGTGTCATGTAGATGTGCAGTAAGGTTTCGGAATTTTGATTTTGCCCCGGGGGGTCATCTGGGGGTGGACTTATGTCGTTTTTTATGCAAAAAGCCCCGTCTTCCCTGAACTCCTCTTACATTTTACACAGTAGCCTAATCATCTTTAAGGAGATGGTTTGTTGTGTCATGTTGATGTACAGCAGGGTTTTGGAATTTTGATTTTGCCCTGGGGGGTCAAATGGGGGTCGAAAAATGACGTTTTTTATGCAAAAAGCCCCCTCTTCCCTGAACTCCTCTTACATTTAACACAGTAGGCTAATCATCTTTTAGGAGATGGTTGGTGGTGTCATGTAGATGTGCAGTAAGGTTTCGGAATGTTGATTTTGCCACGGGGGGACTTATGGGGGTCGTAAAATGATGTTTTAAAAATGTCTTAAATCATTTCTTTAAAACTAAGTGAAATACAAATTAAAAAGGATGGAGGTCAAGGTCACAGGAATGTGCCAGGTGAAGTTTTTGATGCAGGTGAGTAGCTTCACTAATACATATCAGCATATTATGTTTGATAAAAATATCTTGAATGATTTAATGAAGCTGAGCTTAACACCTTTTCTAAAAAGAGAGGTCAAAGGAAAGGTTGGGGCCAAAATGTTGTTGCAGTTGAAAAGCTTACATCAGTATGAATTTACTATTAGCATATGAAGTTTGATAAAACTATAATTAATGGTTTATTTAAAACTAAGATAAACACATAATTTAAAAAGTGAGGTCAAGGTCAAAGGAAAATTCAAGGTCAAAATGAGTTGATGTATTAATAGCTCTCAGCAGTATGTATCAGCATATGAAGTTTGATAAATATATCTTGAATTGTTTATTCAAAACTGATCTAGACATTAATTTTAGAAAAGTGAGGTCAAGGTCACAGGAATGGTCAAGGTAAAAAAAGAGTGACGCATTGTAAAGCTTACATCAGTATGTATCATCATGTGAAGTTTCATTACACAACTTGAACGGTTTCTTTAAAATAAAGCTAAACAGTAATTTAAAGAAAAGTTAAGTGAAGGTCCAAGGAAAAGTCAAAGTCAAAAAATATTGCTGCAGTTGGATATTTACATCAGTATGCATCAACATATGAACTTTGATAAAAATATCTAGAAAGTTTCTTTGAGCCCGATGGAAAGACAGATGGAAGGGTGGAGGACGGACATGACAAAAACTATACATGTATGTATTCCTAATCATGGTGTGGCATAAAAAACTTGAATCTACATTATATGAGGATGTTTCCATCTATCAAGATTATACAAGCAAATTCAAAGAATTGTGGTCCTCTGCTTTCTGTGTTTTAGTGAATGGGATGCCATAATTTATGGCAGATTGTGTGTCAAATATGCACCCCTATCATATATCAATTTTTGAAAATTGGGTCAAAGGGGAAAAATCATAGCATGCTCTGAAATATTTTGTTGCAGGTAATGTACATGTCAAATATGAAAGTCCTATCTCTTTTGAATCAAAAGTTATATATATATATATAATATAATATTTTGAAAAGTAGGTTAAATTTCTAGGTCAAGGTCACAGAGTCAAAAGTCTTTTCACAATATTATATTATATATATATATATAATATAATATTTTGATATAAATCAAGGTCAAAAGTCATGATATATTTAGAAAAGTCTTTTCACATGTAATAAACATGTATAATTTGAATGCCCTTTCTTTTCTCTTTCAAAATGATTAATTTAAAATGTTATTTTTTGGAAAGTAGGTAGAACTTTAAGGTTAAGGTCTCACTTCGTTTAAAAAATCATAGTATATTTAGAAAGTTTTGTGGTAATGTACATGTGAAATATGAAAGCACAATCTCTTATTATTCAAAAGTTATGACCAAGATTAAATTTATTGTGAAAGATGCACATACTAGCTGTAAATAAGATGGGCAGACTGACAGACAAATGAGATTTAATGTCCCCTCCCTTTCCCCAAAATGGGGGACAATAATGCCCTTGCTGTTCTTGAGAAGAAGATTTATGATGGAAAAAATCCCCTGCATATTTCTTAACGCAAATCAATATTGTGTTTTTATGTCATTTTGTTTGTTGTTAAACATCCCTAGTGACGCGGAGTATATAAAGCAAAACAGGGACAGGGAACCAGGCTAATTCTGGTCTGGAACCCCCTCCCCCTCCCCCACCTCCCTCCCAGAAAAAAAAATTCTGGATCTTGTAACTGAATGTAACGTTGATAACGGGGGATAACTCTTCAGAATGTAAATTCGTCTATTGTAAGTTTAAAGGATCAAAGGTCATCCGATGCTGAACCTAACCGTTTGCATTTCAGACTATTTTACCCAAATCTATACCAAAACTTGTACTTACCGATTGTCATTATTTAGGCACTGTTATCTTCATGAAATATAATCCAGTTAAAACACAAAATAAAATAATTCCTACTGACTGTAATGATGCACACTAGTAGCCTACTGCACGTGCAGTGAAATCTAAAATGATAATGCCAGTGGTAAAACTAGTACTTAAGTTGGGTACGTGACGCAGGCCCAATGTGATGCAGGTATTCAGATACATGTATAGTGCAAGAACAAATTGAAAATTATCATTTACAAAAGATGTTTTATTTTAACTTTGCCATCTAGGCCTATTTCCAAAAACAGGCAAATAAGGTGTGTTTGTGTGTGTGTTGATGGGAGAGGGGTCGGGGTTGACTAAATTGATTGTGTATATGGCAGCCTTCAAGAAGTTTCTGCCTAATCAAATATAAATAAACTTTTCAAATTTTGAAAAATTCATCAAAAACATTTTACACTAATTTAAATAATATTATTTGTTGTTAATCTATATGAGAAAATATATTTAAAAGTTCCAATTATGTCACACCCCCCCCCCCCCTTATCAAACCTAATTTACATCATTAATTTAATTCTGTTGTTTAATTTCCGACTGGTAATGAATTAAGAATATGAAATACCTATAAGATGGAGGCCCATGGGTCACATGGTCACTAGCTGAAGATCTGTATAGCGTTATGGTTTTATATATTAGTGTTTGACCATAAAGCTACAGATCCAGTAATGCAAAAAAGGTGCAATTTACGGTGCAATATTTTTTTGCGCACTTCTAGGGAGAATTTCTCCACTTTCCAGCATCGGTCAATTTACTACCTTTCACCCCCTAATTTTAGGCACATTATTTAACTAATCTGTATATTTTATCAATCTCCCAACACATTATATTCATCTCTACAATTTATAAACTCACTTGATTAAAATTATTTGTTAGATTGCATAAAATTCATATCAAGCGAGTTTATTGCCTGTAGAGATGACTATAAATGGCTGAGAGGTGGACAAAATATACATTTTGACTACAGAATGTGTCTAAAATTAGGGAGTGAAAGGTAGTTGATTGACCAATGCTAGAAAATGGAGAAATTCTGCCCATAAGTGCGCAAAAAATATTGCGCCGTAAATTGCACCTTTTTTGCATATGGGGATCTGTAGCGTTATGGTCAAAGACAAATATATAAAACCATAACGCTGCAGATCTGCAGCTACATGGTCACCTGAGCATATTATGCTCAATTTGAAGAATACATGTATTATGTAAATTATTGAATTATATTGACTTTTTTCCGTGGTAAAGCCCAATATGAAGAAGTGTGCATTTAGAGGCAAACACCTAAGTGCGGGTATTACTGTCTCATGACAGCATCTAGTTGAGCTTTGCTCCTATTTTGTATTGTTTTGTGGACTTTTGAGCTTAAATACTGTTAGTTATCTCCATATATTTCACAGCAAATAGTCCTATTCGTTCCCAATTCAATATTCAAATTGTCTAATCTACACATGTAGCTTTAATTTTTGAATCTTATATAGGTTTTAGAAATCATTCTGGAATGATTTTATGGTGTTGAATATTTTCTAATATAAATATAAATATAAGATCAGGCAGAAAAATGAATATATGACCAGTCTTAAAACAATGTTATCAAAATTATCACATATCTGTTGTTGTTGTAGTCAGTTAGCATTACTCATTTGTTTCTACCTGCTTAAGTACCACTTCTTGTTTTTGATAGATGTGATCTTCAGTTTTGCTGTAACTGACCAAGTCGTAGATATCTGCATTAATGTGTGAGTACATGGATTCACATTGCACTCTGTCGGTGTTTAGTACAGCTGAACTTTCTCCTGTTGGCAACATCATTTCTTCAAGTAATTGTTCTTGAGACTGTTGCTGATGTACATTTTGTATAGGAATCTCTGATTCTTTTGAGCTTGGTTTTATTGAATTTACACATCGGGGACCTTCATTGGAGCTATAAACAATATATATCATTGTAATGTATACACTCAGTTGTATACATCTAAAATGTTAAACAACTATATTAGACTTTAAATGATTTTAAGTTTGTTATTTTTTTTAAATGTCATGTAAGTCTGTAAAAATTTGCATAGTACTTTATCTTTAAGACTATTGTTGTGTTTCATTGATTATTTAAATGTGTATGACATACTTATATTCGTATAAATTTTATAATTATTTTTTCAATTGTGTCTTTTGAAATATATGATGTGTATGGATATATAACGTGTTACATCTCATGATAATGTTTACTTACGCAGAATTGTCTTCTTTATACATTTCTGTAAAAGTGTACAAGTTTAACATGCTGATATTTTTTTTATTGGAAGATACACAAAAACAGCAGCTAAGATAATAAGAAACTTGCAGTTTACTTTGAAAATATTATAATTAAGGCAGTACAGCAGAACATTTTATAAATTGTTTAGTTTGACTCACTACCATTACAATAGAGATATTATGGTAATAGTTATCGAAAAAGAAATAATTACCTTTGTTACCTCCATTGTTCCAGGTTTTCACAAAAATCAAGACTGCCAAAAAGATAAGTGTACCTCCTATAACCATTCCACCAATTCCCAAATAAAATTGCGTTGAACTTCGGTTTGAGCTAATTGTCCCTTTGATATAGATAAAAAAGAAGGTTATAAATGTAAGTTTTTATAATACAAAAGCATTTGGTATTTATCATGTAAGAAGCAATGCTACAAAAAGTAGTATGTAACTTACAATTGCAATCGTGTGTGTCATTGTTTAGGAAAACCCTTTCCTGAACGGATCCAAATCCACAATCACTTGAAAAGTTAGTTTCGCAGATAATTTCTACATTTCTTAGGCTCTTTGACAATTGATAAAGAACACTGCTCTTGAATTTTATTCCAAAAGATGTCTTGAATATTTCCTCATTCGGTTTTTCTTGCAAAGGAAGGACTTGAAAGTGTTTGTCTTTCCCTGTTCTGATGCACCACCTGATATGCTGAAAAATTGAATAGCTCAAAACCATCAATATCATTTTTCAATATTGTTACAGACACTTTGGAGCACATACATATTATATTAATTTTATCATGTTTTCTACTCTTCAATTGATCTTATTCCTTTATAGCTTCTGAGCGCGGTATAAGACATGTCAGAACCTGAGATGTTTCTGCATGGAATGTTCCAATCGTCGTGTAGCATGTCATGGAGAGGAGGTATCTGTTCCCAATAACATCTTTGGTGACAACAAATGGACCATAGATTCTGTTTAAATCTTGTAATGTAAAAGTAACCATAATGTAAAATGTTAGGCAAAACATTGTCGTATGCATTTATAATGAAAAATGCAATTTAAAAAAAATATCAAAAAAATTTACAAAAACTTGGAGGATCCAAAATCCTCACACATTCACGTTTATTCTAGACCTTACCTTACAGAATGTCGACACTCCTCAACTTTATAAACATTAACAATTACCCCTACCTTCTTCTGCCTGAAGTGTTATGGTCTTTCTATGGCTTCCATTCCCACATTTTTGAAAAGTACCGAGATATCCTGTTTCACAAATGACTACTGTTTTGAGTTGAGTCTCGTGTAGATGAATGAACGCCGATGCTGTTTGGTTACCTATGCATCCATCGTCCGAAATCTGCCATGTCCTGTACATTGCTGGCTCTTGGAGACGTAATGTTTTAGATTTGTGGTAGTCGTTGTGTTGACAAAGTGCTACATTCTTCATTTAAACATTATAATTAATATGAAGTTTGAATAAAATGGCATGAGCATAAATACCTTAACTGTTTCTTTCTACTTATGTGCAACAATTGAACTTAAACTGTATTGATCCAATGTGTGTTAAACAAATAATTTGTTTTTGAGCTTTCCTCACAAAAAAAAAATAATAACAAAATGAGCGTAATGTTTGAAGTACTTTTCTCGCACTTTACCTGGAAAACATTTCCATTTCTCAAAGGAACTTCCCCTTCACAGATTAACTCGATGAGAGTTCCCGGGGGAAATTTCTGCAAGACCCTATCATTCTCAACGCCTTGATAACGAGTGCGGAAAGATGTAAGTCTCGAAGGTTTTCCTGAAAGAAATACAAAAAAAAAATTACAAGGATTCTGTTGAAACTTGTGCGTACATTTACACGTAAATACGAATTTAAAATTATTTTTATAATGTATTTTAAATGTTACATAGTAGATAAATATTATCCGTGATGATAAATGAGCAACCTGTTATGGAGATCCCCAATGTTCTTTCTGTCTCCGTTTCATTTGTTTCAACAGAACACGATATCTTTACACGGTCTTTGCATCCATTCGCAGAAAAATTAGCTTTACATTCGGCACTTATCTCATCACTCCTGAATGGACACATTGCAAGAATAACTTTCGTGTTATTTCTCAAGATTCTTCGGATGACAATGTTTGTACTTGAAACATTTGTTGGACTTGAAAACCACTGGCGAGCATTACACTGTACAATATCATTCGGGTAATAAACGCCTAACAATGGATTTTCAAAAGACATGAAATCTAAAAGAAATCAAAGATTGTGTTTTTGTTAAATTTTAAACATTTAAAATTTTCAAGTCCTTATGACAAAGGAATTAATCTGTCAGTATTATATTTAAGGATATGATATCACACGCTTATTTGATTCTTTTAATTTGAATGGAAAAGATTAAAAAGTCAATTATCGACATGATTCAAAGAATTAAAACTTAACAAATCATAATTCTCTTACAGTTTTGTTCGAAAGCCTCAAATAAAAACAATCCATAGGTACAAATCAAACTTGTTGCTAGCAAATACATGATCGAAAAATAAATTGTGAAATGATATCTATTGAAAATTGAAAACTTAAAATAAGGAAGCAAAAGTAATTTCAAATCAACTTAAAAGTCTATAAACTTTAGCCATAATATAATGTCATTAATATCAATAGATCTAGGAAAACTTTGTGCCTGGCTCTGCAGGAAATAGGCGGGTATATAATCAGAGGAATTACTTCCTAAGTTAATTAAATATATTAAAGATTTAGAATTTAAATACCCTCCGAAGTGAACTTTGAAAGTTTTCTTCATTAATCTACAATATACTATGGCAAACCAATTTACATATAATTATTTGATAAAAATTTTCACGTATTAAGTATTTTGAGGTCTTGAAAATAAAAGTGCATTGGATACAAACAAACTTTTGACTAACACCAAAATTTAATGATGCAAACTATTTTTTTATTTAAATATTTATATGATTGTCTTCCTAATAATATAAAAAGTGAACAATCTTTTTTGTAAACATGCTGATATAAGTGATATGAAGATATGCTAAGAAAAATCTCAATTCTTATCCAAATCTACAATGCACAATACATTACGTAATTTGTAAATTAATTATTCGAAAGGGATTATTCTATTTTATTACTTTTGTTTGTAACAAATTAATGAATAACTCATTTCTTGACATCGACTGCTAACAACTATTTTTTAGCACTGGTTTAAATGACTAAACATTAAAAGCACTCCGATTTTACAGGCAGGTACGATGAAGAAAATGATGGTAATTTTTTTTAATCAGCAATTTAAGCCACAGGGCTGAATTAGATTTACCGGTATTAACTTCATGCAGATATGGTTTGATTCTAAAAATAATGTGAACATAATACATAAAAAGAAAAAAATTCAACTTTCTTCAGAAAAGATAGCAAAATATAATAAAGAAATACGCACGCTAACTCTGCGACAGAGAACTATTCCCCGAGGACTTGCCAGAGGGGAATAGTTCCTGTGAAGTGTTTGATAAAAGAGCTATCCCACTCACAACCAGTGGATAAGCGTTTTATTATAATTATATAATTATAATTTAATAAATATAATTTCTGAGTTTTGAAATTTTTATTGGAGTACGATAATACTGCAAGAATAATCTAAAATTCCGATGACGTCACAATGCTACTGAAGTCATTATGACATCATCAGTCAACAGATTCATCGCTGGAAATCAAAATTGGTAGCAAAAATTGCATGAAAATTTTCCGAGGGTGGATAGCAAAACTATACTCCGGGGCTTAGCTTTGCTAAGCGTGAACTATATAAGATAGCTATTTTACGTTCTGAAGTTTATATCGGAAACATTTTGACAGAAGTATAATAATAGGGTATAGATTATATAGAAACAAACTGACAGGAAGCATAATAATTATCTATAAAAAAAAATATTAAAAATTCTTCGAATATGTTAACTTTTGAAAATTGATTTGGAGGTGGGCGGGAGAACAATACTATCGTTCGCACTTCTTTAACTATGAGTTTTCGCCTAAGTAAAACGTAAAAGGACGTATTATAGTTCTTAAACACGAACGCACATCTTATTTACTATGGTTAGATTGGAAAACTGGCGGGCTAAAATCAATTTCGTGATCAAATCAAATTACACAAGTGACAAGCATATATTGTATGTTAAAGACAGTGCGTTTGACCAAAAATTTCACAGAAAGGACATAATTCAAAAATACATTAAATAATTCATCTTTTGGTAAGTTCAGTCTACATATATAACAAACTGATACATTAAGTACTGTTGTAAAAAGAAATTAATTACTTTGTAATGTCTTTCAATGCAAAGTAGGCTCTACTCAACGCGTTCAAATTGACATAAATGCTAAAATAATATTACAACTTATAATTTTTTTAAAAGTTAGCCATTAAATAAACAACTTTACATACAAGAAATGACGAAGACTCATAACTGGTGATTTATAACGTAAAATATGACGTTTGATCCATAAAATGATTGAAGAATACTATACAGGCAAACAAAAATTACAAATGAACAAAAAAGCTTAATATATATACCTGTTGCTCACAAATGATTTTTTGTGAAGAAAAAATCTTTAACAATATCATTCTTCTGAACAACAGATTCGAAAGACTCATATGAGCCAGCCGTTGGCACATGTGATTTACAAATAAAAAAAAGAGATAAATCTAAAAAAAAACCCCACACAATCTGTAATATAAAAAAGGGGATATCGGTATATTTATCATAACCATGAAAAAGTTAAATTGCTCGTAAAGGGAAAAAGGCCTAAGGTCTAAATGTGTAGCCCTCCAACGCTAGTTGATTGCATATCGATATAAATGAAAATTTCTAAAGCTAACAATTGTTTTTTATGAATTTTTCAAGAGATGCTAGTTACTCAATTCCTCTCTGTTTTGGCATTAAATTCATAAAAGGTAATAATCTTTTTATAAAGTCAAACATGGCGTCTAATTCAGTATTAAAAACATGACAAGAAAAGACCTCTTGCATATGCATGCCAAATTACATACATAATTGAGGTTTAAACTTACTAAATATAAGATTATTTGCTTAAATCAAAGGAATACATAAATGATTATCAGGGCAACACTTTTTAAGGCGTGAAATATCTGTATCCGATCTGTTTTTTTAAAGTGATACCTTGTATTACATGTAAGAATGTTTACTTTGTATCGAACAAAAAATTAGCCTGATTCAAAATATCTGTATTATATTAAATGAAATATGAAAATAATATTAGTGTAAGCAAAATACGAGTTAATTTAAAAGTTTGTTTTAAACACTAATGAAAGCAAAGTTCAATTAAAAAAAGGATTCGGTAGATGGTTTGAAAATGACTTAGAAGTATATACATTTGTATGCTAAATTTTTGTTTTGAAAAGCAGTCACTCGCTTTAATAAATTATTTTCGAGAAGAATTGAACTGATTTTTGTGCTTTTAATCTATGCCTCTTAAAATTTTCCTCATGTTTACACTTCTTCATAAACTTCATCAGTTTGGAGTTTTCCTTCATAAACATGTGGATCATAATCATGTAATACTACTGGTTCATACATATCCCCATCATCACTGCCATTAGTTAATTCATAAACACAGATAGTTGCTCCCCCTGTGTGAACTGGGGCATTCGAATAGGTTTGGCCGCCAGATGATATTTGATTCTGATGCTCGTGTGAGACTGGATTGTTTCCGGTCGAATTGTATGCATTTGCTTTTGGCATGCTAGATTTATCCGCAGCAGCATTCAAACTGAAATATAGGGCATCAAGTAGGTATATATGGCACGCCGATTGGTTCAAAAGTATTTTCTGCACAACGATAAAGATTTTATACACGAGCTAGATGAAAAAATTACACGAGTTAAATAAAAATGCACGTACAAGTAAAAATTGCACATAGTTTGAAAGATTTTAACACAAACAAAATGAAAAATACACGAACCCGACATTTTTTGCACGATTT